CTAGAGTCTTGCCACAGAATTTAGGTCCAACTTGCTAAGGAGCACACAGGGCTTTGCTTATATTGTACATTGGGCCACACCAGATTTCATTGTACCAATGCATAAGAGTGTCAGACCAGGACTTTAAACAGGAGAGCACAATTCTAGCAGCTAGCAAAAGGAAATGCTACGTTCACAATGGGCTATAAGAAGTAAACTACATTGGTGTCACATGTCATTGAAACCCACTGTCCAATGATTACAGCTTCCTTAAAAGACAGAGGCCAACTCTTTCATTTGGTGCCTCTTGGTCAACATACAGCTCTATCCATTTTTCTAAACATTCTCTTGCAAGACATTTCTTCATGTCTGGCTTATTGACTGTACTGTTTTTATTGCTTTATTACTGATTACAAATATGGTACGAAAATTAGAAGGTGGAGTGGCAGGGAAAAGAGAGTGGAAAGGGAGAGATTAAGATCCTATAAAGGTATTTATTAGTACACCCAGTTCCTTACCTGTTCATATCAAACAAGTCTAGAAAAGCCTATTATCTAAAGAACTCTGTTCACTGCTTTTGTAATTTAATACATATTTTTGAACATACTAAGTAAAGTATGTACAATCTTGTTAGTGATATGAGGGGGAAAATGCAAGCAAAACTGCACCCTAATAATATTACTATGCCATGGACATACCATTCTTTGTAATGCTTTCTTTTTTCAGAGGTCAGTAAATTTTTTTTGTTACTACATGTAGCTGATTAATATGAGATCAATCTTTTACTATAACAATGTTCCACCAGGAAAAAATTAAATATGAGCCAATCAAGATGCTTAAGTGATCTGAGAGATGCAAAAGCAAGATTTAAAGATAAGGCCAGAAGGGACTATTATGGTCATTTAGTCTGACCTCCAAAGAATCACTTAATTGCAGGGAATCTTAATTGTGTTTGGCTGATCAGCAGGCAAATTTTATACTCTATTTATATACAAAATATTCCCAGGCAAAAAATTAGAAACATTCAGTCTAATTTTTGTATCTATTATTACATCTATATTACTGTAGCTGAAAAGGGTAATGAAACATTCTTTCAGATTGCTTTGTGTATTTGACAGCAGTTTCATAGTATCATTTGTGTGGATTTAAGGTTTTCATATAGCTCCAGGGAAGAAAAATGTTTAAAAATAGAAGCTAGGGTTGCAAGACAACAAAAATTTGTAGGGGGACCAATGGTAGGTGAGGTAAACTAATATTTTTTTTAAGTTGATATGATTCTAATTAAAAGAGTCACTACCAAATGTCCATAATACATTATATTTTACTCTCCATTGTTGAATGTTGTCTTAGAAGGTCGGAAATAAATTTTTTCATGCTCATTTTTTCTTCTGCCATCTGGTAAACATGAGTTATCTTTTTGTTAGTGCCTCAGAGGCCAACATGGTAACCGATGATTTACTTCGGTCTGTGCACTAGGATTTTATGCTGACCTGTAGCTGTTTTAACACTTTAGAAGCTATTTTGAGGGAGTTTCACTCAGCGTGTGCATGCGTGTGCAGTGTTCTGCTGAAAAGGAGGGTAAGTTTCTGGCAGGGATGCAGAACTAGTTTGGGACTCCTTAAAGAGGCAGTCCAAACTGGTGAAAGACAGTTCAGCTTCTCTGGTCTTTCTTCTGCCTACTACTATAATCCTTGATACACACAGTTAGGCTGGGATCCAGAAGTAGGAAAACATGCATTATGAGAGATCATCAATCTGGGAGGAACTGGCATGGAGCCAGCAGAAGCTCTATCAGGCTTTTGGGGCACGATACTCTATGCCTGCTTTATTGTTTGGGGATGGGAAGGACTAAGGAGGCTGGGAAGGACTTAGTTCGAGATGCAGAGCAAAGTTGAGGGAAAGCAATATATTTTACTTTGTTCTGGTCCCTCCAACTAAGTCAAATTTACTTTTCTTTAGGGCTCTAAGTGTTAATATCAGCAGGAATAGTTCTGGGAATTGAACCTGCACAGTATCAAACAACTGCCATCCACTTCATTCATTGTATCCCTTCTGCAGCAAGATGAAATACATTATTGATTCGTTAGTTGCTTAAGGTGAATAATAATGTGGATACCTTTTTATTTCTCTCTGGGACCAAAGGACCAAAGGAAATTTATAGACAATTTATCACCATTTAAGAGGTCAGGTGTTAAGCCTAAATTGGTTGATATTCATTTTAATATATTAGCACTTATTTAAATTTACAGACCCTATATTTTGAAACCCAATAAATAAAACCAAGTTTTTCTCAGAATTAGGTGTACTCCTTATTCCCTTCAGGTGCCCTTTACATTCCATGTGTTGAAGTCTGTTGGTTTTCAAGACTAGAAACAAGTCTCAGAAAAGCACACCTCAAATAAAATCCCTGCTTCTACAGTGAAATAAGAGAACACATTTCATGGACAGATCATCTGACACCATTTGGCTCTCAGTATTAAGCCATAATCTAATTATTGCAAACTGATATAAAAGAAAGCTGAAAATACTTGTACTCAAAAACTTTGATGACTTTAAATCAAGGTAATTACACATGAAAAATTGTTAGAACACAAACTTTCTAGGATAATGGCATCCACGTGAAGATGCGCATGAATCACTCAAAGAACAGCTAAACAAAGGTTTTAATGACAGGAGGGAAAGAAGTGGGAGAGTCTGGAGTCTCTAGATAATCTTCTCTAACCTGGACCCACAATTAGTGTTACTATGATGTAATTGAAGGTTCTTGAACTACACCCTGGAATTACGGAGAATCAAATAGTCTCTGAAATTTCTATCCAGCAGCTAATAATAATTTGTAGGGCCCTTGAGGACAGAATATTGTTGCATAAGAGTACATAAAAACTAGTGCATTTTTAAAAGTATAATTCAAATTTGGGTAAAAAATTTAGACTTTGTAAAAACAAACCTTTACAACATCAAAGACCAAGAAAAATGCTCCCAAGTGGTGTTTTTTTAAACACCACATTTCAATGGAAATAGTTTCTAAACAAACATGTCTCTGCAGTGTTTGTTACCCAAACACTGTAGCACTGAAAACCTAAAAATGAGACATTTCATTGATTTTCATTGTCCAAGACACACACAAAAAAGCAAGTAAATGAAGAATACAGGGAAAGTGAATTGATTTATAAAATCTTCCTGCCCCAGTAAACAAAGGCATTAACAGAATCATCCATGGTAAAGACATTTTTATTTACTATATACAATTATAATTTGAGATTGTTTCTTTAATATCTTATAATAGCAAAAATTCATTATGCATTAGAAGAAAAAATTTCCAGCTATCTAGGACAGCTTGCAGGAGGATTTAGAAGACTGATAATGAGCTGCAATATGCCCCTCAGGGACATGGGACTGATGCCTGGTTCTGACACTGTGACTTAGTTGTTTCTTAGTGTATCATGCATATAGCTATTTATATACCAAACATAGGCCAAGTTGCTGCATCTTGGCTGCATGTATGCATAGTAATGTACGTATTTCTCTTTTGGAGGGGGGAAGAGGAGAAGAAAAATGTGTTATAAAATGAAAGGGAAAGATATCCTTGGTAACAGTCAAAACTACCACAAATTATTAGATAATTCTTCCAAAAATATTCACCACGCACAAAAAGCAGTTCAACTGAAAATCTGCTACAGAGATAATGTCACATAGCTCTAAATCGAGATCTTTGGGATGGAAGGGAAATGAGAAGACTGAGGCAAGAGCACAAGGATAGAGTTTGGTTGCTACACTTTAAGTGCCAGTACTGGATAGCCGAAACTATTTTCTTAAATAGTCCTTGATGTCAACACTAAGGTGGAGATGGGGGATGGCAGCATTTCTAGTAACTGGGAAATGCTTGAGCAAGCTGGAATTGCTTAGACCTCTGGTTCTCACCTTTTGGTCTCAGGACAGCCTATCACAACCCAAATACCCAAAACACAAAATACCTTTAGTAAAAGAAACATCTGGCTTACTAAATATTTCTTACCCACATAAATATACACACTTACATAATAAGTACTAAATAAGTATACCAGGAGTACCATAATGGCAGGTCCTGCAGCTTCTGTCCCACAGTGCTGTCTGGGCTCAGCTCCATGCTCTGGGAGTTGTGATCTCTGGGGTTGCAGTGCTACTCATGTTTGGTGGAGGCCAGGCAGGTCAAATTTGTGAGAGTGGTGGTGTATCCTGGTGCATGCTGTCACTGAGCCACTCAAATTTGGCCTGTCTGGCCCCTCATCATCATGACGGAGAGATGGCTGGGCCAAATCTAAGCAGTGCTGTGACCCTGTACTTCATGTTGCAACACCTGGAGCAGAGAGCCGAGCCCAGCCAGCCTCATGGGACTGGAGCCACAGAATGCAGGGTGGGCTCTGCAACCCCTGCCAGCCCCCCTTACCTCATTGGGCAGAATCTCTCCCGGCCTACCCCACAGGTCTCCCATCTAACCCTTTGACACATTCTGGCAGCATAATTTTGGGTTGGGACCCACAGGCATAGCAGGATACCAGGTTGCAGTATCTACTGTGTGGAATTTTGCATCTATACTTTAGTTTACTATAATTAATGCAAGTACTGGGTCTGCCCAATCTTCAATCCTTAAAGCTCTCTTTGTCTCACTCACTCTCTCCCAATTTTGTGCCTTTTTCGTGGTCTTCACTTCCCTTAAAAATCACTTCCTACTTCCCATAGGCCAATCACCTGCCATTCCTCTAGACTCTCTTCTTCTTGCATAGTCTCCATTGTCAATAACTCTGCCAGCTCCCACCTTCTCGCCTAATTGTATTGTATTAACCTTATTTAGATTGCATGCTCCTAGGACAAGGGATCTGTCTAAACTAGGTATGTGTAAAATATTATGCACACCTATGTTGGTATATAACAGGAAAAAGCAAATGCTAGATAAAATGAAACAAAGGGATGTAAACAAGAATCAGCATAAACATTTCTTAGGAATAAATCCATTAAAAAGGGAAGAGAAATTGCTAGCTTACTTGCATGGCAGAATGCGGACAACATCGTTCTGCTTGTAACACTCGATACAGACAGCACAATGATCAAAGTCTGGGTCTGTTTCCTAAAATGAATAGCATGAAAACTCAAGTCAAGAGTTAAGACTACATTAAAGGCAAAGTAGACATGATTAGTAAACAGGAATTCTACTGTGGCAGTGAGGATCAAATATGCAAAGTGGCTATGAACAGGAAGAGGCAGAAAAGGGTGAAAATATGCCTCACAAAGAAGATAGAACACACACTTTACATGCATATCAAAGTCACCATCTCATTTAAAACTAGTATTTGTGTATATCTTAAATTTAAACTAGAATAAGATAGCTATAATTCATTTGTATAAATAGTACTTTTCATATTGACTCAAAAGATATTTCCACAGGACTTTATTTCAGTTAAGATCTAGTCTACATCATTACTTCATAAAATATAATTTATATAATATTAAAGCAGATTTTTTTCATCTTTTCCTATAATCAGAGCTAAAAAACTGCTTTATTTCATACTTCAGAAAGTCCAGTGTTTCCTACTCCTCAGACCCAAGAATTACTGATGTCATTCCTATACAGACATGCAGCTCAGGATCACTTGCTGGCTATACTTTGTTATAAAGGTTACTGTTTCTAAATGGATAAAAAATAACTTCACATATTTTAAGTTTCCCTTTGGAGAAAGGCAGATTTCATAGAGATAAAGCCACGGCATTGGTGGTATACACTAAAATCTGTGGGCTACACAGACACACAGGCTGTGCTTTCTTCCAAAATCATACAATTCTTTTCAACACTAGCAAAGTACTGAGACAAGGACATCAAAAACCACAGCAAGACAAAATTAACAACTCCACTGTTGGAAACAGGCAGTCAATATTTCATGCAGAGAACCCTGATGGGCTGCACTGATGAATGGCAGATTTATTCCTGTATTCCTTTCAACTACATACACGTCTCCTGCTGCCTGTTCTGCAACCTCCATATCACTTAACAATCTTGCATCTATGTTGTCAGGAAGGCAGCATCTTCCCTTGTAGTATTAATAAATTCTAAATATACACACACACACACACACACACACACACACACACACACCAGCAAAGATCTACTGCAGAAGATTATTGTAACCAAATTGCCTAGAAACAAAAAAGCAAAGGCTTGGAAAAAGCATTTTTCTCATATTTCTCTTCAGAGAAGCAAATTCAGGTGGCTTCTCGTATTTCTGTTGTGTTGGTGGGAAAGACGATGAGAGGGAGTCGGTGGAAGAACCAAAAGGGAAACATTTTTCTTTTTAAAAAGAAAAATCATAATCAGAACACCATTTAAATATAATCAGGTCTGTGCATTTTGCAAAAGGAAAGGGAAAAGCGAGCAAGGCTATAAATAAATGTTACAGCGCTGATAAAGAACTGATGAGTACTTGTAGCTTTTTAATTCACAGTTCATGATCAATTATTCTCTGACAGCCAAATACAGTTCCCCATAGCTCAAGACTTCAGACTCAGGTATTTCAACTCAAATGAAATACCTCTCCCCTAACCCAAGAGACTAATTTATAAAAAGTGAATTCTCACAAAAACTCTTCCTCTTAGCTCCTCTATTTTTATTTTGCACAACATATATGTGCAACATTCCAAGTTTACAGTGTTCCACATAACTAACACTAACCTTGCCTTTCTCTAGTAATGACAATTTATACAGAGTTATTAGGAGCATAGCAAATGAAATGTTGTCATGATGACTCAATACAAAGCCTTCTGCACTCCTGCCTGCAGAAATACTCAGCCAGCTAGCACAGAACAGCACTCTCAATCACAGTTACCAGATGGAGCTCAACTAGTCCCTAAGCAAGAGAAATTCTCCTTCGGGGGGAGCAAAGGCTACAGTATACAGAAAAGCTCTAGATGTCACACTGAAATACTGTAGCAAAAGATGAACTCCTCAGCAAGTAAACCAGCATTAAAGATGAGAGGAGAAAGAAAAACAAATCAGATAAAGTGAATTGTTTTTACTACCAAAATAAACCATGAGATTCAAGTATATTTTGCTGAAGTCTTATTACTATACCTTATCACCCTTCTTTACTGTCCTGGTTGTCAATTTGCTGATGGCTTTCTTCGCAGCATCTCCAAGACGACGCTATTAAATTTACAGAGAAAAGAACGCAGGGATTAATGCTTAGAGTCTAACAATTTTTCTTTTAAAATGACTTAGTTTGACTAAATATTAATGCTACAATACTCAGCTATAATTGGCTAATATTCAAAGTACAGAGGATATAGCAACGACAATCCGATAACCTGCACATAAAGTCGGAGAGAAAATTCAACTGCAGACCATGTACATGCAGTCAAGGTAATCATCTACTATGGCAGAAGTCTCATAGGCTGTTCGAGCTGGTTTTTTAAAGCCATATCTACAAGCCATTAAAACACATACACTGGGATATAAATAGAGGCTCATGCCCTTCCACTAATTCCCACTGTACTCCGCTCTAATTACTTTTTATTCAATGAGCTGTATAATATCACTTGTCCTCTTCCTAAGTTTTCTATTTGGGGTTTCCTTGAGTAGGGAATAAACCTGAAATTACCTCTAAAGGCAGACAATTCACACCTGAGCCTAATATTTATCTCAATACAACATAAAACCAACCAGTATCTACACATGCCAGAAAATAATTTAATGGCCATAAAATCAAAATTCAGTCAATACAGACTATACTTGAATAAAGCTCACATGAATACTGATTCCAAGACAAACCTATTTGGTTGCAAAGGGTCAAGTTGTTTTTAATGGGCATCAGCGTTAGTTGGAAACAGTCATTTCTATACTTAAAGTGCTGATTCCAACTGCAATGCTCTGATTCAAGCCAATTAAGAATGGCAAGTTGCCAGTTAGTTCACAGATTTCAGGGCCAGGTCACTTTGAGCTGAACAAAGCTCATGTTTCCTTGTTTCAATAACCACAACGCCCCACAGAAACAGGATGAGGTTTACATTGATAGAGAGAAACAAAGTTAGTTTATTTTTTCCTTTAAAAACTTCTATAGTCACACATACAATTACTGTGAACATTCTACCGTTACCACTTGTAAGGACAACTTGTAAGGAAAGATTTTATTTTCAAGCTTTCCTTTACTACTGGGGTTGGGGATGTGTCTTAAGCCACCCTCGTGAAAATCCACCCGAATTTGGCCAGTTTATAAACCTTAGAAAAACTGCAGTTTGCACATGCTCTGGAGAGACTTGTTTACAGTTGAATCTTCAACGAAAGTAGTTGTTAAATATGTACTGAGCATGCTCCTGCCAGGGGTAGGGTCTGAGCAGGACTTTACTGCAGCTGTTTCTCCTGGCTGCTGCTCTGACACTGAACAGAGAGAACTCCCCCATTTTCAATGCTCCCCCTTGCTGGAAACCAGGCAGGGAAGAGGAGGAGAAAGTAACCTGACTGGAATGCAGAGGGGTCAGAAATGGTGGGGGTAGGATCTGGGGTGAGGATTGACCCAGAAGGGGCAGGAGGCAGGGTGTGGCAGACAGAAGCACAGGGAGATAGGGGCAGAAGGGTCTGACCTCTAGAGCACAGTCCCCTTCAGAACCTGGAAATGAACCCAGGAGTCCTGGGTCTCTACATTACTCTATCAGCAAATAACAATGAAGCCCACTGGCAGAGTGTGTCCCCCATCTTCCTTCTAGTGACTGGTCAATATAGAGGATAACAGCCTATGACTTTGATCAGCTCAAGTGGTAGAGCTTGTCCTGTGAATCTAAAGGTCCAATGCCAACTTTATGACCCATGTTTGGTGTTGGAGATCCATATGGTTCTGCATGATAGAATTTTTTATTTTAACTGGGCATTACACCGAAAAATTACATTAAAGGGACATTAAGATTGCAGAGTCAAGCACTCAAAAGTTAGGAAGTGCCAGAATTAATATTGCCCTGGAAACCTTTGTTTGGTCCCGTTGTGCATGTAACTTTGCATCCTAAATAACTTTCTTTGAATCTATACTTTTTGTATGTAATTATAGGTTATGGTATTACTGTGACTAAGCACCCCGTATTCACACCTTACAAACTACTGTAACCTTTGTATAAAATATGCCTTGTATCATTTGACAGTGAACTCACGGATTAATATTCTTGTATGATGTGTGTATACAGTGTGTATTAAGAGTTATGGATATACGCTGAGGTTATAACTAGAATGTGTTTAAACCAGGCATGTCAAGGGGAATTGGTAAACAGGTCTGCCCTGGACAAAGGAATGTGTTTGCTGCTCTACCCAGCCTGGTCATGAGGCAGAGACAAAGAAGGTACGTTTACATATAAGCGTAAACAGGGTTATCACGCTACAAGGAGAGGGTAGATTGGAGGAAACAGAATGATTTGCGTTTTAGCAAATACCAGCTAGGGATGAAAGAGCGTGGAGTTTCCTTCACCACCAGACTCCATGTCACCTTTCTCAGAGCTTGGAAAAAAAGCCTTTGAGAGTTGATCCTGAAAAGAATCAATTTCAAAGGGTTACCAGTCTATAAAGAAGTGGGGCTGAACCTCAAGTAATAAATAATCAACTGATTTATAATACAGTAATATTGTACACAAAGTGTACAGAGTGAGGCCTTTTCTGAAAGCGAATGACACTGGTGATTAATATTGTGAAATGTATGTATTAACACAATGAGGAAATATTATGCTTTAAAATCTGTGGCCAATCACGTTCCCTCCCTACAAGGAGAGAAGGCAGCTATGTACCTAACTCCTATGTAAATTAAGCATGGTGAAGTCAAAACAATGGAAGCCCCATTTATATACAGATGGATGGAAAGTCCACAGGAAGGGAAGAAGAACATGAGGCCATCCTATTCTTGAAACAAAGTCATTGCATTTTGGAGGAAAGAAGCAAGGGCAGAAGACATATTTGGCAACCATCATTGGACAGACAAGAGGCCAGAGCTCTTGCTAGCTGAGAAAGATGGGTCCTTCAACCACGGAAGGGTTTGAAGTCTCTGGAAACTAAATATAAGTGAGAAACCTGCCTACACAAAGATTTTTCACCTAGGAAGACAAAGGAAGCCAGCATCTTGTACTTTTGTAGAAGGTCCTGACAGGGAAAGTCAGCTAGGGCTGGAAAGAATGAATGGTGAGAGAAAACATCTTGAACAAAGCCTGTACCTTACTAGATGAAGTTTTAGACAAGTGTTTTCACTTTTGTGTTCCCTTTCTAACCCTATTCCTTTTACTTGGCATCACTTAACCTATATTCTGTTAATAAATGTGTTTTATTTTTACTATAAACCAACTCAGTGCTGTGTTTTCTGGGTAGGGTGTATTTACCCCTGGTAAGTTAATAAACTCGGATGTGCTTTTGTCTCTTTAAAGGAACAAAAAACCTTATTTTTTCTCTGAACTGTCTAGGAGAGGGCTGGACATTGCAGAGCACACAGTTTTGGGAAACTTCTGGAGTGTGTTGGAGTCACCTTGCTGGTTGTAACCAAGGTTGATGGAAGCCAGAGAGGGGCTGTAGACAGGCTATGGATCAACGCTGTTGAAACAGGGCTGTCTACTGCACAGACACTTTGGATGTGACCTGAAGGCTTGTCGGCTGGTGCCAGGTTCTGAGCTACAACAGTGGGGCATTTCAGGCACCCAGGGTTACAGGGCAGGCAGTGACAACCTCTCACTGATCTGGATTGGACCTTCAAACTGTGTGACAATAATATATAAATATGTGCCTGCGCTGAAAGTTATAATGTAAGAGTTCATTTTCTTTTGGAAACGTTCATATTTAATTTGGACACCTACAAAATTAACAGAGCAAGCTTGATCTTTAACAACATTTCACATTTAACTATCTTGTAACTCTAGTAGCTGTTTGGAGATCATATTAAGTTTCAGGGGTTGTATACTTTAGGGGTTTATACTAATGTGAAAATAAACAGCATAGATGTGCTGCACTAGTGGGACTTACTCCAGTTTGAAACCAGTGTAAACGGTACCAGTGGAGAGTATCTACACTTTTGATTTTCACTCATGTACTTACACTGATGCAAAAATTCCTAATGTAGACAAGCCCTCTGATGAACCAATATCCTGTGTGTCCCAGTCTTGCTATTTGTACCTTGGATAGATGGAATTTTTGCTTTTAGACTCATGACTGATACTAGCTTAAGGAAAAAGACATTAACTGGCAAACTGAATAACCACAAAAGGTGTTTAATGATTTTGGCCTAGTGGAAGTGCACAAGGTTAACTGTAAGGCACCTGTAACATACAGTTCTACCTATTTTTTTTATTTAAGAAACACAGCATCTGTTTTCAATGATTTCTGTAGAAAGGCTAGTGTGCTTCTACACATAATAGCTTAAAAACTGCACAGTTCAGAAATTAGCTGTTACTGCATCATTGAAAGCTCTGGCTTCTCCTTTACAATATATCTGAGCACTTCAAACTGAATTCTAGCTGCTGCCACCTCCTTATTAAACTTTAATAAGCTGAGCTTTTTAAACCACATAAAAATTTCATCAAGTTTCTCCTGACCTTTGAAAAAAATCTAAAGAAAGTAAAAAAGGTCATAAGAGCACTTTCCCCACAGAGCCGCTGTTTTAAAGCATCTGCACTGGGAAGAAGCCTACAGCAATATATGGGATGTAGGGGGAATAATTTGTCACTCAATGAATATCCATGGAGTACTAATTATATTTAAACTTTTAACATCCAAAGGGACCATGATGAGTACCAATTACAGTGTGGGCACCTAAATATGACGTATCCCAGGAAAGCTTGCAGGGTCTCCATAGGGCCTACCACACCACAACCACTATTACTGGGAACAACTGAGAAGGAAATCTTTAGTCAGAGTTTGTCTACACTGGCAAGTGAAAGGCCTGGTCTACACTGGGGTGGGGGGGTGGGGGGTGTCAATGTAAGATATGCAACTTCAGCTACGGGAATAGTGTAGCTGAAGTTGACATATATCTTAGATCGACTTACCTCCCATCCTCACGGCGCGGGATCGATGGCCGCGGCTCCCCCGTTGACTCCGCTTCTGCCGCTCGCCCTGGCGGAGTTCCAGAGTCGACGGGAGTGCGTTCAGGGATCGATTTATTGCGTCTAGATGAGACGCGATATATCGATCCCCAATAGATCGATAGCTACCCGCCGATCCGGCGGGTAGTCTGGACGTACCCAAAGACAAACCTTTTGTCGTTCAGAGATGTTAAAAACACCTCACTCCCCCATCCCCCCGAAAGAAAAGTTTTGTTGATGACAAGCGGCGGTGTGAACAGCGCTTTGAGCTC